ATATAATATAATATAATATAATATAATATAATATAATATAATATAATCCATCCATTATCGTTACCACTTATTCCCTAATAGGGTTGCGGGATAATATAATATAAGAGGGTTCTGGGTTCGAATCCCGGGGGAACCAGGACCTTTCTGGGTGGAGTTTGCATGTTCTCCCTGTGTCTGCGTGGGTTCTCTCCGGGTTCTCCGGCTTCCTCCCACAGTACAAAAACCTGCATGTTAGGTTGATTGGAGATTGGGGAAATTGCCCTTAGGAGTGAATGTGAATGTGAGTGTGAGTGGTTGTTTGTCCTTGTGTGTCCTGTGTGTGGCCCTGCGATGGACTGGCGGACTGTCCAGGGTGTACCCTGCCTCTCGCCCGTTGACCACTGGGATAGGCTCCAGTTCCCCCCGCGACCCCATGAGGGAATAAGCGGCATTGATAATGGATGGATGGATGGATGGATAATATAATATAATATAATATGATGGATGGTGGATGGATTTTATCTAAACCCAATCAAAAACAGTTTTCCCTAGTTTATTCAGCACATAAAATGTTGTGCCAGGGAATTTTTTTCATTGGTATGTTTTTTTTGTGGCTGTGGGAAGCAGTTGAACTTCAGTTTTTAACTAGTATAGTTAACAAAAACTTTTTTTTCAAACTGTCTGTGGGATCACAGAAAGATTTTGAATCGTAATGCAAAGGGATGGCAGAAAAAAAACAACCGATAAAACTGAAAGTGGCGCATTGGATAACAGAACAAGCTGATGGGGAACGTGTGGACAAATCCCAAGCCTTCACTGCCGCGCCGGGTACCTGCAGGTGACAGTATCCGCAGCGCCGCTGCCGGAGGGTCGACGACTGCGGGATCATGGCCACCGTTTCGTCATCCGGGCTCTGACCGGCCTGCGTCACACAGACAGGGTTCGGTCAAACGTGGACAGCCCTTTACCCCGTAAAGGAGTCCACGGACTGAAAAGAAAAGGCCCTCTATACCACGGATCTGTTTCTTTAGCTCAGGGTTAAATGAACACAGACCAAGCATTTCTGTGTCTCCTTTGTTTCTGGATCTTAAAGTCCATGCTGGCTCGTCCACTCACAGTGTCAGAGAGGACAAAGCCCGGATCCATCAGGGAGACTCTGAAGTACAGCAGCACCGACAGCATGATGAGCAGGAAGAACAGGGCGGGCAGCAGCAGTTCCCCGCGCTCCTCGTACCTTCTCAAATCTGCACACAAAAACACAAACAAATTTACAATTTGGGGAAACATGTGTTGAGGTAAATACATGGTTCCTGGGTTTGCCTTTCTTGGCCAGTTATTAGTGTAGTACATGAAATTTAATAACAGATGTTATATAGTCAAGATGATCAAAATGTTTTATGTGTAAAATCTTTTTATTTATGCTGACATTAAAAGTGGAAAATAGCTCCACACTTATTTTTCCTGGCTCAGGAACTCAGTAGAACTAGGTGACAGGAAACATTTGGCTTCCATTGGCCTACTTAAGGTTACTAGAGTGTATATTCAGGTGCTATACATCTTTATTAATGGTTGAATTCTTTAAAGGAAATAGTAAAAGGAAATTTCAATCAGCTAATTTTGCTTTAGCATCAAAACTTCATAGAGAATGACAATATTTAATATCTAAGAAACTATAACCATTATAAATTTCAATCTGTTTTTTTATAAAGTCTTACATGAAATAATTATTAAAACCATTATTATTATATTATAAGTTAATCAAGTTAACTGAAACAAGTAATTTCAAAGCAACATTCTGCTTTAAAAGCCACATAATCTGAGGGTCCACCGCATTTAGACCAGGGGAGTAAAGTAGTAAAGTGCAACGGAAAGGTCACACACGTAGTGACTTTCCACTGCAGGGTGTTATTGATCCATGCTGATAATTTCATCTTTATTTATTTGGATTATCCCTCTTTTAAACTGCTGTTTGCAACTGTTTTGATCCCATGTCCAGCCTCTTTTATTGCTTACAACTTGATTTTTTTTTCACTTTTTCTATTTTAAGTCACAGGCGATCCTGACCTTTCAAAGCAAATCTGTCTTTTCTTTTTAAAACTGGATTCTGATTAATGATGACTATTCAGCTTCTGTTTTGAGGAACTTTCAACCCATTAAAACTGAATGCTAAATTAAAGGAATCTTCAGTTGGATTAAGGGGATGTAAAAAATCCAAAACAGCTTTAGTTATAGTCAAAGAAATTGAATTATGTATTTTAAAAAAAGACCCAAACTATATTTTATGACCAACACTATGTTACCATGGTAAATGGTAATACCCGAAGCTAACTGAGGGATGTTTCCTATATCTTAAAAATCATTTTATGATGTATTTTAAACCTGTTGAATTACCTTGTTGTTACACTGTCCAACTACATATTCAGCCTTCTAAATTTTTTTATGATTTGCTGATCCTTTTCCAAGTGTGTACCTTTATTATAGTATTATTCTTATATATGTATTATATTGTCCACATATATCAATCTTATCAAATCAAATACATTCTAATTTTTGTGTGAATCAAAATGTTTAATCATCCACCATATCTTCATATTTAGCTTCCAAACAAACATAAAATCCCTGTTTTTTAAATTGATACTTGTATTTAACTATTCAGTGTGTGTGTTTTTGGTAGTTGTTTGCTTGATTGTTTGTTGACACACCTAATAGTTATTAATGAACCACTCAAATATAAAAGACCTCCAATTCAGGGGGTAGAGCAGTATCTTAGCAAAAAAAGCTTTATTAAATGTCATCCTCGCCAAAATTCAATATTAATGAAGAAGTTGGGAATTGTGTTAACAGAGAATTAAACCAAGCTTCCAACAAGAAGATCAGACCTATTTGTAAAAAAGCAAGCAGAAGCTTTACTGAAGACCATCTAAACACAAGAAGGGTTGTCTACAGAGGTGTTTAGGAGCAGAGTTAGCTAAACTAGACTTGCTTAGTACCCATACATTGCATTTACCTCAATGTTTCCTTATGTTAAAATAAACCACAGCACTTAAATCTTGTTTGGGGTAAGTAAAATAAAGAGAAGGGTGAATAAACATGTTGTTAACTGTCCCAGCTCTGCCACTTGACGATAAACTGGGAACCACAATTTGTGGTTTATCAGGAAGACTGACTGCTAAAGAAAAGGAAAAGTTACTTCCCTGTATCCTTCGTTCAACAGCTAACACAGGCAACAGCTCCAGTTTGGAATAACTTACCAGTGTTGTGCAGAAACAATGTGAGGGTCAAGACCCAGGTAAGCAGGGTGTGCAAGGCTCGGACCAGAAAACCGGACCTGAAAATGCTCTTCATGTTTCACCGTCTCTCACTGGTACCGCTGTTAGCTAGCATGCTAATATACAGTAAGGCCGAGCTCAAACAGCTGCTAACTTTAAAAAAATAAAGGAAACATTTTTTTTTAAAGTTCCACGTTTACAACAGTTTATTCGCCATATACTGTAGAACATTAAATGTATAAATACCAAACAAAAAAATACTTGAACTCATTCACCTCATCTCAACATAGTTTTGTGTACTGCTATTTAATCTCTTCCGTATTTTGGTACGAAAGCCCGCGCTGGACAAAAGGTTCCAACCAGAAAATGCCAAAGCAGTTACATAAAATTAAACATGTCCTCTGACGTCAAAAGACTCACGATAATTAGTTTTTCTAAATAATACCAATACATGTGGTTACAGTAGAAAAGGTTACTTCTATTCACAGAACAAACAACAGTGACCTTTTAATTGTCTGCCCAGCATAGACTTGACGTTGGAAGAGTGTCAAATGTAAATTATGTCCATACTTTGTTTAATTAGTTTAATTTATGTTCGTTAATCTATTTTATCCAGAGCTAGCACCACTGCTTGTCATATAGCAGAGCTGTTATAAAGTCTACAAAAGCCTAATGGTATATATAATGAGATCTGTGAACCGTTAAAGCATAATTTCCATTGTGTGACATAGTGTATGTTTATATCAGAATGGGATTGGATTTGTATTCTTCAAAGGATTCTTCTAACAGATGCTTGAAATAATTTGATATCCATCCATCCATTGTCCGCCGCTTATCTGGGGTCTGTTCACAGAGGCAGTACAAATTACACTGAAAATGCTTTCGTAGGGGTAACTGTCCATTATGCATCAAAAGGGGACCAAAAAATGGTTGTTTTAGTAAAATAACTCTGGCATTTGTTACTATGTTTTGAGAACATTTTAAAAAATTTGTTTAAAAAGTCAAGTAATATTTAAAGCTTTTACCATAAAAAAACACTACTGTAACTTGTGAATGTGACATAAAGTTTTACATAAAACACTGATGAGGCTACAAGAGCTAAGACTCTAAACCAATAATTTTTTATTGATTTTTTGTTGTTTTTTTGCTTGTCAGGAAGTTAGTTTTAAAGATTTGACAAGACCGTGATACAAACTGATCTTATCGTGTTCAGTTTTTTTAAAGACTATGTTACAACACCAATTTTGAAGTTCATTTTTGTGTGACATGGATTTCTATCCACCAATCTCTCAGTTTTATAGATGGCAGAGTGTTGGACTCGAACCCAGATATCAGGGACACCCTGGGGATGTGGCCATTCCGTCACAAATCCCATATAAAGATGTGCACGCTTAGACTGACTTGACATAAACGTGATTTGCCTGTGGGGGAAAAACCCGAGAACATGCAGACGCACAAAAAAAGCTAACTATAGACTGATGTATCCGTGTGCCTAACCCTAACCCTGGTTTGAGGTGTGAAAAGAGACACAACTTTGATATCTAAACCTCAGAGGCGCAGCTGAATGAATCAGCTGCCAAGCAGAATATCATGATCATCACGTTTCTCCAAATGTCTGATTAGAGGACATTTTAGCCTCTAAGAGGGTGATGAAGTCAATGCACGTGGTTCAGACTGAGCCACAAATGCTTTAAGTCATGACAGAAAAAGACAAACAGTAAACCCAGTCAAGACGGCGTGTTGTGAAATTAAATAGTGTTCAGAAACGTGTGCATTTTATATTGCTACTTTAGTCTTACTATAATTGCACTAGCAATAGTATGAGAGTATTCATTTGAATGTTATCACACTTTAAATTAGCAATGGATAAGTTGAAATTCAGTCTGAACAAAGTTGGATATGTCGAAAAAACGAACAAAACTACTAGTTTAAAGAAACTTAAACTATGAAAAGTCATAAAAAACTGTTTTGCAGTTCAAATGCAGACACATAATGATTTTCTACCGTGAGAAAAAGCTACTTTATTTTGGTCAATTAACTCAAATTTAACATTAAGTCATACAATCTTGGTATTCTGTGCATTGTGTCTCCCGTTGCTGGCCTCAGCCACTGCCTGAATGATTTGAAGTCTCCATTTTCCTGCTAAATTTAGACATTCAATAGAATAAGAACACTGGACTGATTTGCACTAGAATTCCTTATATGGTTATCAGGATGTTGCACTTTGACTCCACTTCTGCTTTGGACTCAAAAGCTCGATCACCAGACCAAAAGCACCTGGTTTGCAGTCACGGTTAGTGTCTGAGTTTGGCATCATCTCCAGTCAGCAGACATCCATAGAATGTTCTTTATCCTTCTAAAGAAAACCCGACACACAGTGTTGATGTTAATTTGTATTTATTTGTATCAATATGGTCCATGAAAACAAAATACTAAGACTCATTCTTTACAAAAGAATAGCATCCAGCATTGATGGGTCATCAGGAGACCCTTCTAGCATTGATTAAAGTGCATTGCTCTTTGTTTTCTCTCCCAAAAAACTCTTTCAAACTGTTTTGTATCAACATCATCTTATGTGGACTAAACAGTGATTCCCTTATCCCTGAGAAGAATGTCACTAACATTTTAAACTGGTGTCAAAACACACAGACTCTATGGTCTGAAAGTGAACGTGCCATTTTTCATTTTTTTCATAGATAGCAAAAACAAAACAAAAAAACAATACAGTGTTCATCATTGCACCAGTTTGCTACCATTAGTGATTGAAAGGTGTTAAGGCGATACTCACAACCTGAATTTGCAATAGCACAATTGGCTTTTTTGGACAAGAACTACACAGCATCTTTACTTCAGAGAATCAAAATAAATACAGGACAGGTAGAAATAAGTCATCGGCCATTCGATACATCCCGTTATCAGCTCATTCACTCAGGACGGGGTAGAGGAGAGCAATCGAACCTTTGTGCAAAAATCCTCTCGTTTGGGACACATTCCATCGGCATGCTCATTAATGCTAGATCTAACTGGTGAGATACGTCCAGTGCGTTTATTCCTAAATGCTGATAGCATTATTTAATATGAAAACTTAACATTCGACAAAAACACCTGGACGTGACTCGAGCGGAACAAAGTTGTTTGGTCCTCAAAGTTTCCATTCAGTCCCTTTTAAATTTTTAAAAAAAAAAAAAAAAAAAACCTAAGTAGCAGCAGTCTCCACGTCCCGAGCTCACACAGGCCGCGTGTTCTCGGCCCTTCTCGTCTTACATCAGCTGACATTCACAGAATGAGATGGCTACACGAACCTCCCGAGGGGCCCCAGAAGGTCCCGGTGATTCTTTACGAGAGCCCTGGGAGAAAATGGGGTGGTGGTGTGGGCTGGTGGGGGGGGCTAGAGGTTCACACAGAGTTCTTCGGTCATATGAGAGCCTCAGCGCGACGTGACACCCAGCTGGGTCTTCAGGTGCTCGTACACCACGTAGCTGATGCTGACGGCGGGGATGACTTTCAGGAAGTTGGGGGCCAGGCCCCGGTAGAGCCCCGCCGGGCCCTCGCTCTGCAGGATCTGCCGGAACAGCCCGGTCATCGACACCTGCTGGCTGGCCTCGGACGCAGCTGGGAAGACAAAACACAGCCACGTTAGGATCAGCCACAAAAACAAAACAGGACACACAGCTTCCATGTTCAGCTGTGTGTGTGTGTGTGTGTGTGTGTGTGTGTGTATATATATAGAGTCTTGCTTCTGGCTCTGACGTAGCAGACGCTCACCTTGTGCTTGCATGCGGGTTCGGACCAGAGCCAGAGGGTAGCTGGCGAGCTGGCCGCAGGTGCTGGACACGGTGCCGCAGGCCAGTAGGACGACTATGCCGGGGTCTGTGCTGTTGGCGCCGTACTGCTGCAGGTAGGAGTTCTTCAGTGTCTGTAGGAGGGGAATTATAGGTTAGGAGACCCAAATCATACAAAAGTACACTTGAAACTGGATCCAATTTTTTTTTAGAGAACCCAAAATGTGTATAGAGGCGAGCTTGGATGGTGTGAAAGCCTCTAACTCACCTCGTACACTGCCAGGTCGATGCCAGCGTAGGGGATGATGCCCAACATATTTGGGATGTAGCCTTTGTAAAACGCCCCAAGTCCTTCTCTCCTGAAAATCTGCTTTGCACAGTCCGAGATGCCGGCGTACTGACCCGTTGTTCTCAGCGCGAGGCGCGTTTTCAGAACCTGGGGGCAGATTAAGAGACCGTCTTTAATAAGATCCTCAAAAGGCCCTCTGCTACGTTAGTGGAGATGTAAATAAACAGGTAATCACCTCCATGGGGTAGATGGTGCTCTGGGCGATGACCCCGGCCAAAGAACCTGCGATAAATCGCTCCAAGATGCTCAGGCTCTGATTATCGCTGCCGATTAGACGCTTAATCTGCAGGAACCAATTATGGAGATAAGTCCGTTAGCGACTGGCATCAGAAAAACTCCGACCTCACAAGTTTAAATTCGGATCATACGGCAGCCAGGCGGACGTACCTGCTCATAAGCCATGAACTTGAGCGCGGACTCGGGGGCGATCTTGATGATGTTCACGCCGTTGCCTCGCCACAGGGACCGTGTGCCGCCCTCTTTGATCATCTGCATCATCCCGCTCATGATGCACATGTTGTTGGTGCGGGAGCCGTAAACCTGAGGAGGAAGAAGGCAAAAAAAAACGGTTTCATTGAGATGGAGACACAATTCCAGAATGGCGCCATGTGGCCTGACGTCACCTGACATAAAAACCCTTGTCCAACTGGGTCAGGTTTGTTTAGTAGTTGGGAAAATACAACCCTGATCGATAGGGCTCGGGGGGTCTGCCATAAGTGCAGCAGCTGACGTCAATTAGGGCCACTGACATATTATCAGTCTTGGCACAGTTAGACCTTAATCCCATTGATGACGATGGGTGCTAAAGGAACAGAGGGTGTGACGGTATTTCGGGGTCAGCCATTGGCTGGCGATAGAGGGACAGTCATCAGATGGACTCTGCCCCTACAGTTAAAGTTTAACTTGTTAATAGTCCTTAGGTAACTCTTGAGTAAAATGGCCATCAACACCTGCCCCCACCCCACTGATGTGACCTTTAGATTTAGGAAAGACTGAGCCTTACAAGGAAAAGTACAATTTTAATCTCTGAAGTTTTGATTTGAAATGCAACTGGTTCACATTACACACGAGCTAATGAGAGGTACCACAAATCCCCAACACATGCTGCACATACCACCCAAAGGTCTAGAAAGGTTGGATTATCAACTCTTGTTTCAGGCACTTGTTTCAGGAGAGCTCGGTTTTTCGTTTGACGATGGTCTCACCTGCATCATGACTTTCAGTCGGTCCAGTGGGGCAGTGAATGTCCTGGAAACGGCCCCGGCTCCTCCACCTGCGACCAGGTGCCTCCACCACATCCCAGTCTGCCTCTCTTCGACGGTGAACTCATCTGGTACCATCAGGTTTTCACCCACATCAAATATCTGAAGGGGAAGACAGAATGGGTTTTTAATATAAATCAATTTTTTTATTTTTTTTTTATTATCCTACTATAGAAACACCCTCTATGTCCTAGAAGAGGTGATAAGAAATGCATTTCTTCAACTTCATGATTTATTAAAAAATAAAACTCTCCTGTTCTCTTTGAGTAACATATCCATGTTGATGTCATGGAACAGCCACCTTGAAGGTAGACTATCTGGCAAAACAAGGGTCAGGAGTCAAGTTGTATAACAGCCTTTGAGCTCTGGGTTAGATTTCCCACCGCCAAGATTTAAGCAGTTAATGTGGATCATTACAGTGGCTTTGATGACTAATTTAATCAGAGTCCTTGAGGCAAACATTTCTGAGGACTCCTGCTATGGGATGTTGTTTGTTGGTCGACCAAGAATTAGTTTAACTCAACTTGGCCAACTTTGATTCCCATTTCCAGGAATCTGGTGCGTGCGTTTAGCACTGTAAGCAGCATGTGAAAACACTTTAACAAGCTCATTTTAATCTGTTTTATCATCATTATACAACTGTTCTCTGCATCTAAAAACTGCATGTGAACATTGACGGCAGGTTTCTGTTTCATCTGTTATCTTAGACTTTATGGGGGAACAACTCCTGCTCTGTTCAGCCTAACCAACTTGCAAGATGTTGGACGGATGACCTGCCCTCCTTAGCAGTTCTGCACTGGTTCTAACCAACTGTTCTCATTTACATAAGAGCAGGACAAAGTGGAAAATCCTTCCAGTATAATCCGCACGGAATGGATCCCAATTTGTTTCATGACCCAATAGAGCTTAATTGATGACGCACAATCTGTGGTTGTGGAGTCTGGAAGAGGACTTTGCTTCTTAACTGACATGCTTCCAGACAATGGAGGGGGTGGCAAGATGCACCTTGCACACCCCGAGCACTCTGATCAGCGTCTGAGCGATAACACTATCGACTGTACTGTACTGATAGTTATCTGATCCGGAAAAATAGGACATCAGAATATGTATGCAACACCTGGAGTGGAATTATCCCAATCCTTCCTGATCTGAAATTCCCTTTAGGATATGAAGTCAGAACAAACAGGAACTCACTGTGGAGTGTTTCCAGTAGAGGATGATTTCGGGAATGTTCTCTGACTTTTCCACCATGGGACAGTTACTCCAATCTTTGTTACTTATTGTGATCATTCCATTCTTGTCCATGCTTCAGGAAAAACAAAGAAAAAACAAAGTTATTCGAGTGTCTCAATAAAAACAGTTCCATATTACAGTACATAAAAAAGGAAAAAATACCTCTTAAGGGCCTTCTCTGCATGCTGTGGGGATATGTGCACACCAAGGTCATAAAGAGACTGTATAAACTCTTTAGGATCAATGTGCCCTTAAAAAGAAAACAAAATGCAAGTAGTAAGAACGTTTTTAGTGTCAGAGGAGCAAAATGCATAAATAAAAGCAATTGAAGTGTTGGATGCAGAAGCAAAAGCAAATAGGATACCTGCATTCTTTTTGTCAAGGGTCTTGACCACCAGCTTCAGGTCTTTTTCATAATCTTGAAGGTAATGAACAAACTCCTCAAAGTCCAGCTGTCCGTCTGCACCAATTTCATCCCTTTTCACGGTTTTCTGTATTACAGAAAAAAAGCACACAAAAAAAAAGATACTGAGATAGGGTATTGGGACATTCAGATCAAATCTTTTTATTTTATTTATTATGATTAAAAAGGGGGGATGTCATTAAACTGTTTTGGAAACTTTAGTGGACACTTAAAATCTTCCACATTCAGAACAGTGACCCAACAGTCAAACCAATTAAACTGCTTATGAAACACACACACCCGGTTCAGAATGTGCTCGACTGCTAATGTTTCATGACCCCACGGCATTGCTGAGCCACAGCCGTCTTGGCTTTCTGGCATGACCTTAGCTTCTCTTCCTCCACGGATGGATTGGGACATAATACTCAAGTCTATCTTTAACCTCAAGCACAGACTGACCTGCCAACTGTTTTAATCCCGTCTGGCTTCAGACCTGTCCAGCTAAAACAGGTACTGGGACACTGGCAGTACTCCAGCCCGGGAAACCTACCTCGGGGGCATATGACTTGTCACATAGTAATAATACTCATAGGGACATATCTGGAAATCCTTGCAGCCCTTCTGCACAATTCCAGCCTGCAGCGGTGTTAAAAGGCCAACTTGCAACCCGTTTCAATACAGGCAACCGTTTGTACAGCCCTCATCTATGCTACTTATAAATATTAAAAGATAAAAGCTGTTGTAAAAGCTGCAGTCAACAGGTTATGTGTTCTTTTATTTGTAAGAAAAGTTAAAGCATTGATTAATATCAGCATGATATTATAACATCACGCTGGTATTAATATTCTCACACTGATAAGTCAAGTGCATGCTCCTATTGACTTAACCTTGGTTGCAGAAGCATGAATGGCAGCTCTGAAACGACCATGTCTCCCAGAACTATTCTTTAAAAATAAACTCATCCTAACATGGTACATTTTGACATGGCATCGAGAAAAAAAAAAGATGTTCGACACGAGTATGAATTTTTAAAAAGTCTTGATGAAATACACGTTTTTTGCCCTCGCCAGTCGCTCTTAACTCCTACTGTACAAATTACTCGCATTCCTTCTGAGAAAAAAACTCTCCATGTGACACGAATGCAGCCGGTGCCCATTGCCGGCGCCGGTTAAGTCATGGTCGTTACATACATACAAACTTACATTTACTTATGAGTAACATACATTTTTATTTCAAAGTCAATTGTGAATTAAATGCTCTTTCTCCCAAAAAGTGTGACGCTGAACATTTGGAGGGAATTTTCTGGAAACCGGGTTTTTTTTCTGCTATGCGGCCTAGTCGTAAAGGCTTTTACTACTACGTATCGCCCAAACTCAAGGGCGTTCAAAACCGAAAGTTTTTTTTCTCAGATAATTTAGTAATAAAAACCTCACCCTTGCCAGAAAAAAATATACACGTTAAATTTATTTCTTACCTGTCGCCATTTTTGGTAAGTTGAAAACTCTTCGGACGGCAGAAACACGCTCAGTTTGTTAAAGAGCGATTTCAGCTCCGACGGCAGTCCATTGGATTCAAAGTATTCCACTTCGATGGGGTCCGAGTTGGACACAGGTACGTAAAGGCACAGACCAAGCATGTTTGGCTTCGGTAAATTTAAAATAAACTACAATAAATAAATAAATACCATAAAGTGGCGCGTCCACACGGGCCAATGCTGAAATGCCGGTAAAAGGGAGCCGGCTTTCTAAAGAACATGTGACACGTCACACCCACTCCGGGAATAGTTGCGTGTAATTGGCTGTTGAATGAATCCCACCCAGTCTCTGAGGTTAGTGACGTAGGTTTTACTACTGACGAATCACAGAGGCCACTCATTGATGAGCTCCAGTTCGTCTTCCTGCGTCAGCACAGCGGGACATTTTCAGCAGTCCAATGTCCAAATAAATTGCCAAATTTAATTAAACGCTTAAGGTTATAAATACATGAATATATATAGAAAAAACTGTTCTCTATTGAAAATAAGATATGCAAAAATGAGAAATTAGTTTTTTTATCAGCTCATTTGTACTGCATTTTTTATTTTTTAGGATGACTAAACTTCTTGAGCCATATCATTATTACAACATTTGTATCAAGGGAGGATCTCCTTGAGCAAAATAGGATAAAAACGGACCTAATGCTATTGACAGTCATATTTTTATTTTAACTTACAAAAATGACCAGAGATAATACTACTAGAAAGACACAAATGAGTAAATGTTTTACAAGGTTATGTTAAAATGAGCTGTTACCTTGGGTAATCTCAGGATAGCTCAGTGTATCCTTCAAAACAGACACACATGACAGAAAACTATGTAAATTCAATAGAAATGGTCCGGAAGGGTGTCTTATACACGAAACCATTGAAATCGTGCACAAAAAAGAAAAAAAGAAAGGAAAACCCCCAGAAAATCATTGTTTCATTGTTAACAAAAGTACATCAAGTCACTATTGTATGTTTTGCTGTGACAGCAGCAAGCCATATGTGGCTTTATGAAAATCATCTTAAGAGCGTATATAATTCAAGTCTTAAGAAATTACAAGGAATAAAAGATTGTATAACCGTGACAGAAAGAGAATCTCCAGTTAACTCTTTTGTCAGTTTTCCCTTATTTTTCTGTGTGTTTTTGGTGTGTGTTTTTGGTGTGTGTTCAGCATGCGCTGTGGTTCCAGTGTTGTATTTTGAGCTAATTTAGTTACATCTTTTTCTATTATGTTGCATACTTCATCAAAGTCCAGAGTCAAGTCAATGAGCACAAGTTAAAATAACACACACAATAACACATTACATTTTTTCCAGCCATTTTCGCCAAAATGTCTCTAAGGCCCAGTTGTAATCTAGATAAAAGCTGTTAAGAGTTATTCAAGAAAGCAACTGTCATTGCACACTTTGAATGTGGTTTCATTTGGACACATCCATCCAACCATTGCTGTGGACATGTGAAATAGGAGCTCGTCTGGGATTTGAACGCTGGCCTCTCACATCCAAAGCGGGTTTAATTTGGAATCATGTAAAAACATGTCGTGTAAGTTTCTCCATGTCCATCATCTCACTCCTTAGCCTTCAGATTTATCACAAACCAGTTGAGTTAGTCATGACCTCCAAGCAAGTTGCTAGTGAACTGTAGGCAAACCAGCTGCAACTGGTTCCATCTGGAGCATGAGTGGACAGCTCCCCCTGTTGCATCATTACTGACCTCATGATGTCACATGTTTCTGCAGAATGAATTATTTCACTTCTAAATCAATTTTGGTGATAATTTTACTTCAAGAAGTTGCGTAAGTGATGCATGTTTTTCCTACATTCGTCATAATTCTTTTACTCTGCCACCATCACTTGTTTAAAGGCTCAGTGATATTGTTATTTTTTGGACAAAAAAGTTGACAGACAAATGTCAATTTATATAATCTTCCTCAACAATAAGCTCCAGACACTAAAAGAGCATTCGGTGGTCAGCTGACCTCGTCTGAGTTTACTTACAATATGTTCAAATGCTCACACAACTCCACATGTCGCTAAACCATCAGTCCCAGAAAAGTTCACTAATCTTTTAGCATTAAGTCACTGTGAGAATTAGTCATGTTTATTATTTGCTCATGTTCACCTTGTGACAATTCTTTTAGTTTAACACAGCTGCAGTAGACTAGTCCCCTGAATGAATGAAAAAGGCCCTGTTACAAGAAGTAAAAACCCTTAAAACAACTGAAAAATGCCCAGCTTAATACCCTGCAACCGGGAACATCAGCATGGGTATGGAGACACAATAATGAGGTAGACCCTGCAACCCCAGAAGAAGTTTTGCAGTGGGCCAGACATGCGAAACATTTTGCCCGAAAACAGAGTGCCAAAGGCAAGCCCACAGATGTTTTCTGGGAAGATGAGGAATCTGAGAGTGCTGTGTTTTATCGGCGAGGAGCCTCTCCCCAAGGGCCAAATAGGGGAAGAAGACGAGGGTGATTACGTTTTAGAGTGCAACCTCATAGTTGTTCAGAGCAAACAGAACAAGTACAGTTACCCAGAAAAGACTTAAAGGAAACACCATTCACAGAAGGAGAACACTAGTTTGTTGATGGCTCATGCTCAAAGAATGGCAAGGGCAAGAAACCGGTTATGCTGTATTCTCACTGCCAGACAAAATCTTTTAGGCAAAACACACCACTGTGCTCAAGCAGCTGAGCTGATAGGCCTAACCAGAGCATACACCCTAGCCAAAACTAAGAAGGTGACCATTTATCCTGACAGCCAGTATTCCTTCTCCACTGTGTTCTTTTTTGCAAAACAGTGGCTCAAAAGGGGAGTGGTTGCATTAACAGGGAAACCGGTGACACATAAGGGACTGCTTAAGAACCTCCTACAAGCCATATTACTGTAATCAGAATTGCCACATTGTTAATGTGCCTCCCACACAAGTATAACTGATTCTGTTTCATGTGGAAACAGTACTGCTGTCTGATTCTTTGTCCCCCCAGTATTCAGGACTGGTAAAACCAGGTGATTGGGTTTTCATCCAAGTCATCAAAAGGAAGTGCTGGTCCAGTCCATGCTGGGAGGGGCTCTACCAAGTACTGTTGACAACCCCCACCACAGTTCAGATAGCTGAACGACCAAGCTGGATACACTGGAGTCACTATAAGCTGCAACGTCTGCCGACAGCTGCAGATGGGTAGTGGGGCAGTCTGACTTCAACGGGGTGTCACCTTTAGTGGGGGCTCGTCTCAACTGTCACTGAAGCAACCAACGACCCCTACCCATTCGTAAAGGTTGTGAAATGACGTCGTTGAACAGCTAAATGGCTCCGGCGGATCAGCAGGCCCGTGGGAAGCCCTATGGAGGCTCATAATGTGCCTTCTCCAGACACTTATTATGGGAAGACCCAGAGAGAACAACACATGCAGATAAACGAGACATGTGGTAAGGAAAGTTAGAGGGACAATTAGAGTGCTTGAAAGGAACATCTGCAACATAGGACTAGTTTTGAACTTAATTTATGGTACAGATACAACAAGTTCTTCTCCCGATCCATTAACTCCACCAATGATTATATCTACACTCGAAAGCTAGTATCCACTCGGAACCCACACGTCATACATAAGCCATATGAGAACGCTACCCTTTTCCCACTCTTGTTGGTGTCAGCTGTGACACCACAACTTCTGAATCAATCCCTACACAACCGCTACCGCCAGCAGTTGACTTTTCTAAACTAGATTTCTCAAATCCTCTGAGACTGAATAATTCCGGACAAGGGAAATTGTATGGGCTTGTTCACATTCCATCTAACACTAAGTACACCTGTTCTAAATAAGGATTGGGTAAGGGACATGATACACATCCCACGGACCATGTGTAAGAAGGCATTGATGCCCCACACCCCATTGGCTAGTGGCACTCTGAACTCTACTCAAGTCAAAACTGATCCATTTGCGTTCCCTATTTTACTGTACCAGATGCAATGGGCACCCAGCCATAATCTAACTGTGTGGTTCTAGCATCTTTCTAGATCTGCCAATAGGTTGGACCGGACGATGTGCTACCGTGGTTCCCTCTGACCATTCTTTCATCATCACTGCAAAAAACGTGGGAATACCCTGGCTCCAGGCTCTGGTTATAAACCACATGATGCAGTTTGGGGAACTGATGTCCCTGCCAGTCATAAATGATAGTTGGACGAAAGTAAAGTCGCCGTCGCCCTATTCCCATGGTTGGGTGTTGGAAATGTTGAGAATGTAGACTTTGAATTACAGGTCCGGCCTGTTTGTGAACAACTCCATTTCTGCTCTCGAGGGTGCGAAAGAGGAACTCACAGCCCTCAGGCTGATGGAACTCCAGGAACGGCCGATCCTGGACTAACTCACTGCTGCACAAGGAGGAGTATGCGCTGTGATAGGCACATCTTGTTGTACGTTTGTGCCTGAAAATGACAATGACGATGGTGCAATCGAACAGACCATTGCTAATTTGACTTCCCTAATGAGGCTGACCGTACAGGACTGGGAAATATGCAGTCCTGGTTGATGTCAGGCCCACGGTGGCATAGTCTGTTGAAAATACTGTTCCCACTCTTACTAATTCTGATATTATTTTCTATTCTTATGGTATGTGTTGGATGGCACGGTGGTGTGGGGTTTAGCACCATTGCCTCACAGCAAGAGGGTTCTGGGTTCAAGTCCCTGGGGGAACCAGGACCTTTCTGTGTGGAGAATGCATGTTCTCCCTGTGTCTGTGTTGGTTCTATCCAGGTTTTCAAGCTTCCTCCCACTGTCCAAAAAGCATGTTAGGTTGATTAGACATTCCAAATTGCCCTTAGGAGTGAGTGTGCGTGGTTGTTCGTCTTTGTGTGTCTATATGTGTGGCCCCACGTTGGACTGGCGGACTGTTCAGGGTGTACTTTGCCTCTCGCCCATTGAATACTGGGGTATTCCCACGCGGGGTCCCTGTGACCCCATTTGAGAATAAGCGGTTCGAAAGAGGGATGGATGGTATTTGTTTTCCCTTGTATTCGTTCTGTGATTGATCATTCAATTGCCAGATTCTTTTTGCAGGTTCAGTCCTTTCAGATGAAGCAAAATCAAACTGACAATGAAGCACTGACTCAC